CAGGTATCCATTTTATTTTATTTTTTTTATTACCCAGAATAAAATGCTGATGAACTAAGCTCCACGCAAGCTTAGCTCTTCTTCCTCAACCTGGGGGCACAAGGAGAGCTCAGTTAGGGGGAGCCCTGCTCAGCCAGTCAGGCTGAACCAGGGAGGGGACAGCTCCAACCAGGGAGGGGACAGCTCAAATCAGGGAGTGGACAGCTTAAACCAGGGGGAGGGGACAGCTTAAATCAGGGAGGGGACAGCTTCAACCAGGGAGGGGACAGCCCAAACCAGGGAGGGGACAGCTTAAATCAGGGAGGGGACAGTTAAATAAGGGAGGGAGGGGAGAGTTAAAATCAAGGAGGGGACAGTATAAATCAGAAAAGGCAACAGTTGAAATGAGGGGAGGGGCACAGGGGTGCTTACACTCTAATACTGTGACAGTCCCGTCACTCCACCATGTTGATAAGCTCGTTCCCCCTGGTAAGTTGAGTCCTGTGACAGCGCCACGTCAATCTGGGATTTAAACTCATCACCAAGGTAACTGTCCTGCAAGGGGAGAGGCGAGGGAAGCCTCAGCATCAGTGTCCAGCTCAAGTGCAAGGCAGAACCAGGTTAACCATAATGCTGAGAGCGTTTGGGTGTTTTAAATCTGCTTTTTTTGGTGCAGAATTTCCCTAAATTAAGAGTGCTTTGAGCTGTTTGTCAGCTGAAGCAACATTTCCCTTCCATGCCCCGTCAGTGCAGTGCAAACGCTGCAGCTGAGTCACTGAGAGCAGTTTCAGTTTCGTTTCCCTCAGCAGGGAGGAGGTGCAGGCACGGATCAGCACCACAAACCCCAGGCAAAGCTCCTGATATCCCCAAATCCGCACTCACCTGGGATAATTCCGGCTGGGAGAGCCCAGGCTGGCTCATCTGAGAGGGCTGGCTCATGGAGATGTAGCCCTGGGTCAGGGGGCCCTGCGAGAAGGGCTGGGACACCACGTCCTGGCTGGCCTGGCTGTTGGGCAGGTTGGACTGGCTGCCGCCGGGGATCCCAAAGCGATTTTTCTGCCGCCCGCCACGGCCCGTCTTCCCTTTGGGAGCCCCCCGGCCTGGAACAGACCCCGAGCAGTGAGAGCCTGGCAGGCCCAGCCCGACCCCCCCCGCCCCCGGGCTGGTTCAGCCCTCACCTGCAGCGGGGCCGTTGGCCTGGCCAAAGTAGCCCGGGGGCGGCATGGGGGGCATGACCAGGTTGAAGGGGATGGGAATGTTCATGGCAGTGACGTGGCTGGGGCCGGCACTGATCATCCCAATCTGGTCGTGGGTCTGGAAGTACATGTTGGATGGACGCCCTGGGGAGAGAGAGCACAGGAGGGATTGCTCAGGAGCAATAGGAGAGCACAGGAGGGATGCAGGGATTGCTCAGGAGCAATAGGAGAGGGATGCAGGGATTGCTCAGGAGCAATAGGAGAGCACAGAGGGGATGCAGGGACTGCTCAGGAGCAATAGGAGAGCACAGAGGGGCTGCAGGGATTGCTCAGGAGCAATAGGAGAGCACAGAGGGGCTGCAGGGATTGCTCAGGAGCAATAGGAGAGCACAGCAGGGACTGCTCAGGAGCAATAGGAGAGCACAGAGGGGATGCAGGGATTGCTCAG